GTGTCGAACTGAGTCCATCTCCTCACCACATCTCCAGCAACTGGGGGAAATTATATGATATATCTTATGAAGGTATTTAGGGATATGGTACCAAATTATTGCAGTTTATAATTAATCTCCTGATATCTGGAGCTGATAGAACGTCTATACATTATGATTGAGCATGGGAGATTCACTCTATTGATTATCTGTGAATCTGTCTCATTAATTATCGTATCATAGTTTTGGAGGGGGGATTCTCTCCCACACTCTACAGGAAGTGCTGAATACCTATTGAGGGGGTGCCTTTACAACAGGAACAAAGGCACCTTGCATCCCTGCTAAGCTCTACAGAATCTAAAAGCCAATCCAGTCACCATGCATTGGCTGAGGGCAGCAGTTGACAGCTCTCAGACAATGAATGACCCCCTGAAAATTTGCGCAGAATTGACATTAGCCAGCCCAGAAAAGAGTTCTGGGATAGCTAATGATGCCCCAATGACTCTGCCAGAGGTGGAGGTACACCACTGTCAGCAAAAGGGTTACACTGTATGTGCAGAAATTTTGCACTGAAACGCTGCACAAACAGACTCCAGACACCATGATCACTTCAAATTACCAAAGTGGTCATGGTGCTATGAGTAACCCTTTAAGAAAAATTGTACCTGCCCTTTGGATGCTTTCCACAACTGAAAGTGGATCTGTTAAGAGAAAAATAAAGCTTTATTATTTGATTTATCTATCATTTATCAGTATTGACATATAAAACACTAGTTATAAAAAAAAAAATTCAATGAGTATTTTCAATTAGCCTTTTGACCCATACATTTAATTACTTACCACACTGTAGCAACAGAATGCCTTGGCATGTTTATTGGATGGGAAATAGTATAAAGGATGTTAGAAATGTCTTAAAGACAAGAAAATAATTTGAGAAATGGCATCTTTCGCCTCCTGCAGGAATTACTGCAAAAATACGTCTATCAATTCCTTCCACATATGCTAGGAATTTACAGAACCATGTAAAACAAGCCGCAAATATAGTTTTCTAATGTTCTGCATTTGTGAAATGTAAGAATATTGATTATTAAATATTAATATAAATGTAGGAATATTGGCCAACAGCCACCAATAAATCCTGCAAGCATGCTGGATTTTTCACTAAAGTACCATTTTTTTCGGGATTGAAATATTTGGTTAAAATAACCAAGTTTCAACCGGATTTGCAGTTCTCATAGTTCATATTTCAACCAAATGAAAACATCTCTGTTAGTACTGTCCACTATGTGTTTTTTTATAATGAGCAAGTCTCACTGAATATAGAATTTAAAATATAGGATCTGCAGAATTACGAAAACAAATTTCAGGCAAATTTATTCTAGATAAATGTTAGAACGCAAATTTGCAAAATAAATGAATCTACATTTTGCAAGATAATAATAATTGATTAAATATTGTGAATTTCAAACATCAAATGTATCATAGAAACACAATCGTTTAAGCCAGTGATGGCTAACCATGACACCTTAAATTGTTTCTGGACTACATTTCCCAGGATGCTCAGCTAGCTTTTGTTCCATACTAAAAAGTGAGCTAATGTACTAAAAGTGGAGAAATCACCATGGAAACCAGTGGAACCAGAAGGCTTAATGCATTGATTACTCAGCCTCTTTTACATTTTTGCAATGCTTTTTCAACAGAACAGATTGATAAATTTCACCCAATGTCCATGTACTTAGCCAGTCCAGCCAGTTGCATTTAGTCTTTGGTGAATATTTTTTTTAGACAAATGTTCTGCAAGAAAAATATACTTTCTCGTGTTACCATGTCCAAACCAGTGGTCAAGCATACATTTGCACACTAAGCACAAATAAATGTAAAAAAAATAAATAAAACACCACATTTACTGAAAAGTGCTTTATAAAAATATGCAAAAAAATCTTTATAATGTTGAATAGTGAAGTTCAGTATTGTATGACTTCCACTTTAAAAAAGCAAAATATATATATATTTTCCATTTTCCATTTCTGCTGTGACATCATGCTTATTCCGCAATAAAGAAATGCAATGTTCTGAAGCCTAATTATCATGCTAAATCAATATATATACCTCATGTTTCAAAAATGTATTTCAGAGTTATGTCCTGTGGACGCTTAAAACGTTATACTTTTTAATAATTTATTAGGCTAAATTCTTTTGATGGAAGATTTGTTTCCCTTCCAATTGAACGGGTCTCTATTGTTTGCAAAATCATTTTGGGAGTTTTTACATATTTCATTAGAAAACAGGCTCTAAGTGGGTTATTGTTTAAAATGGGTAATTAATTAAACTTAATGTGTCTTATTTAAATGCATATGACCATCTCATTTTGTTGGCAATAAAAAAAAATGATTGCCAACTTTATGTGTTCTGAACATCTTTTGGGAAGTGGAATACTAAACACATAAAGAGGAAATATGTTTCAGATTTTTATGTTTTTTAATGTATTCAGTCCAGTACATTAGCAGTGTTATTCAACAAGAAAATAAAGACAGGTGCCCTACCCAAAGAACAGTCCTTGCTGTACTAAAGACTAAAACGTCTACTATCAAGAGACTATTATTTGTGAGGACTATCACATTGACTTATTTCTTGTTTGTTCCAAACATCTATTCATTTTTTTATATTGACTATTGGCGCAGCCTTTTTTTTAATCTTTTTATTTTAGTATTATCACAGAAATTTTTATGGCGCCACTTATTCTGCAGCGTTTTACAATATTATAAAGACAGAAATGTAATACCAAAATGAGACAAACTGTTACAACCTGTTTGAACACACTTACAATAATTTAAATTCGATCTTTATCCCACCTGTCAGTCAAATCTTCAGGATAGACACTATGCTAGAGAATTGAAGGTGGACCTTCTGCTCTATACACATAGTGATGCTATGGTAACTCACTAGCCTTTGTTGCTAGCACTGCCCAAGGATGTATAGAAGCAGAGTGATTGATATGTCAGAAGGTATTTGGCACACCAGAATATTATATTGTGAATATGATTGCATAAATAAAGAATACATAATATGTTATTGTTAAGATATGATCTCTAAATCCAACTTTTTTGGCACTGTCTGAATACTACTGAATTTCATTTAAACATGGTAGCAATATAAGAAAAGGTAGAATATAAAATTGGACAAACATGGGATCTATTCACTAGAGAGGGAAGTTGTAGTGAGTGGACAACAGACTTTTAACTATGATGCCAAAGACCTGAGTTTCTATTTACAGTATACTATTAAACCCAAAGTGATCACATGCAGAATGAGTTACTAGAGAAGGCATCTTAAACTCTACGTCCCCCCAGATGTTGCTGAACTACAACTCTCATGAGGCTCTGGCCATCTACTGCATTCAAAGTATTCTGTGTGTTGTAGACCATCAACATCTGGAGGGCCAGAATTTGAGATCCCTTTACTATATAGCACAAACCCTCAAACAGGTGTTTCACTTATGCTTGGATGCTTTTTAATAGGGGTTTTAAATCAGAAAAATTGATATTTCTTGCACAGAGGAGAAAAGAGGGGGAGGCTATTTAGACATGAATCTATTCCCAGCAGTAAGAGATCCTTTTGGAGAATTTCAGAGAAATTAAATGTAATACGTGTTAAAAAAAAAAAAAAAGCCAAGTTCTACCAGATTTGATGATAGACTAAAGGGTTACTCCAAGTACCATGACCCCTTTAGTGATTTGAAGAGGTCATGGTGCCTGAATTCTGTTTGTGCAGCACTTCACTCTGAAGGATAGAGTTAGTCATGATTTTATAACGAGATTTCATGTCCTTCTCCCGGTAATGCACATTTATGTACATGACTGTTTACTTACACTGAAGCTCATGCTTTTACAAATGTCATCCTTTTAGTCAATAATTAAAAGGGAGTCACGGTATCACAAAAGAATCTTTTAGCTGCCTTGGATTGTGTAGGAGGAAGTGCATCTTGGTGTCTGAGTTACTTTTACCTGCGTTCCTCCATAGAATTCCATAACAGGAAAAGTACATATTCACCGATTGTCATTTAAAGAGAAATTTCTTTTTTTTTTCTTGTTGTTGCTATAATCGTTGCTGCTCGATTATTTTTTTTTTTTGCATGCTTGCCAGATTGCAGTTTACCATAACGCATAAAAGATGATGATGGGAGGTATGAACAAATACCTGTTTGTACATGTGCTACTAAAGGCATCCTTGACTTCATTGATGGTCTTCTTTTTAATGTAAATTAATAAAAACTAAGTATGTATTAAAATACAAGTAATAGCGGAATTTTTTTTTATTATTTTTTTGTGCCGGATTCATATTTCTCTAACCCTAATTATCACAGTTTCTCTACGCACATATAAATTTGTCTAAGCGTGTACAGAGGTCTACGGAAATGTTGGGAGACAAATTCCTAGAGCATTATACAGGGAACATCTGGGAGAACATCTGTGACTTAACACTATGGGTGCCACAGGGGCATACAGTGAGTTAAAAAGTCTTATATGGTAAGCACAGGTGATTTCATTACCAACAGAAGGGCACTTATGATTACGTTTTTTTTTGGTTTTCTGTTAAAAATTAACATGCATTCTACCGGCAAATTTAAAGGGGAACAGTCAATTCTTTGGAAAACACTTAAAATTACCTATAACTTGTGATAACCTTGTTTTCACGTGATCATTTTTTTTTTTAAATGTATATTTATTCTTTAGCTGTTGACATCACAATCCAGTTCAGTGCACACACAGCCAGCACGCACAACGTACTGGAGGATTAAAAACAGACAAATTCTTTCCGATTCTCCTCCTCTCTCTATGATGAGTGACAGATGAACAGGCCTTACTTTTCTTCTTCTTATTATTTCATATTGACAGGTATCCAAAATTGAAGTGCTGTCTTTAAAAAGCAGAAGTATATCTCGACATTTCATTTTATTTTTCAAACCTCACAAACACATATTTGTTAAATATAAGGGATAAGTACATATAATAAGAAAAATCCTGGAATTGGCGGTTTCCTGTTAAAATTTGAAAGCACATGATGTGTACCACCAATAATCCTCATCCTCCTCAGCCATGAGTAATGTGTACACAGTTTGTATGATGACTCGGGGAGGATAATGTACTTTCTACCATTAACCCACCCCTCATTGACTGCAGAAGTAGCAAACAGAGAGAGAATTTCAGCTGTATCTGTAACTCTCAGGATGCTTCGGCATCCTTCCTTAGCAATAGCAATAGATTAAGGGTTAAAATGAATGTAGTTTTATCCATCACAGCTGTAGTTGTGCCAAGTCTTCCATGTTACTGACAGCCAAAGCGTTTTGTGGATTGTCGAAATTGTGGCCTTAAAATGTACAGGCTGCTATTGCCATTGCTCCATTATCCCAACTGATTTTGCCAAGCTTAAGTGATTACATTTTATTTTTTTATATATATATATATATAATTTTATTGAGCAACAGAAGCGTACGATGCAAAATAGTTCTCAAAGAGTAACGTGTCAAACAAAATTAGACTTATATGCAAAGCCATTTGCTCAGTAATAGGAATTTAAATATAAATGCATGAATAATTAGCATTAATATTTTAAACGAGAAGTCGTGTTTGAACGTTTAACCCATTAGATCTATAATGTATTGGTGGGGCCAGTACAACCAGCACAATTTTCGATGTCTGTATAGCTTTAGAAAAAAACTGACATGCAGATGGGTTAATCTTAAACAGATTGCCAGGATGGCAAGCTTGTACATGTTCAGCTAATGCTGGCTATCACAGTGATTAAAGGCTGGCTGAGGCTCACAGGAGCTGTAGTTCAGTAATACCAACTCTCTGTTTGGGAGGTACTTTATCAGAAGAAATAACCTGAAAGCTATGTATTTAAAGAGAAGCAGATAAAATGTAGGTAACTATTTCAAACTGCACACTATTTAAAAGCAAATAATCTTGACTAAATTATATCTTTATTCTAAAGGTATCCGCCTTTTGTAAAGCAGAGCCACATGAAAAAATAAACACTGTTTATAAGCAAAGACAGATAGCATCTTTCAGACTAAAGAAATTGAGAGAACTCATTACAGATAAGCTACACTAAGACGACTTCCACCAGAAAGACTTTATTATTTAAACACATACCTAACACATCTGTTCGTGTTTTTTCATCAGAAAACCAAAATGTAGCATTTCCACACTGTTGCTAGCTGTATGCAATAGATGGATCTGTAGATAAAAATGGGGGCTGCATGCATACACACTCAGGAATGAATTAAAGGTACATCGTCCTTATCTCAGTGGCAGATTGAGCCCCAACAAAAATAAAATGAGTATAGATCTTGATGACTTATCCTGTTTGGTCAATACGATCCATGGTGGCTATTTTCATGGTAGTCAGGTGGAAATGTTCGTAAAAACCAGCGAATGGAATGGCAAAATTGACAGTAGTCTAGGATGGGGGTTGGGTAAGAGAGTGTGAGGGGGGAGGGCAGCTGGGATGGTGTGTTTTTTTCTTTTGTTTTTTTTTTAAGAAATAGTTGAGGAGGCTAAAATAAAGGTACTGGATGTGAAAACAAATGAAGTAGATAGGTGTAATGTGCAAGATATGTGTGTGTTTTAAAGGTAGGTGTGGGTATTAGCAAGAGTTAATGGTGTGTGCAATAAATGAGTTATGTGTGTTACATTGATTTATATGAGAGAGGGACAGAAGTTTGTGAAGTGTGTGTGTGTGTGTGTAATGAGAGCTCTCTGTTAGTGATTTATATGAGAGAAGGACAGTGGTTTGTGTGTAAATGTGTTGAGGTTGTTGCTGTTTGTATAAAAGGAATTGTGTGCAAGATAAGCAGAGGTGTGTGTGTGTGCGTGCTAATGAGGGAGAGATCTGTGTGTAGAATAGAGTTTTATGGTGAGAAAAAGTCAAAGGTTTGTGATGTCTACTGAGAATGTTGGTGTGTGTACAAGAGGGGAAAGTGAGTGTTTAAAAGGAGCAGGGGTGAGTGTTGTGTAGTGTTCTCCGCGTGTAAGAGCTAGTTTTGGATACAGTGATGTGTGTGTAGAAGGTGTAAGTGTGTGGGTTTTGTGAGAGTGGTAGATATACATGTTAGAAGATGAAGAGATAATATTGTATCTTAGAGAGTGGAATGCTGAGCTTTGTGCGTGTTAGAAGTCGCAGGGTGTGCATGATGATGTGTGTGCAGTAGAGGTACGGGTGTAATGGAGAGCTCTATATATTGGAGAGATGTTTGTGTGTTACAAGGCAGCGATATGTCTGTGTGTTAGAGTGAAGGATCTAAAGCTGGTGATGAGAGAAAGATGAGTGGGAAATGGGGAAGCTAAGGGAGCAGGAGAGAGGATGTGTGGGGGGGGGGGAGGAGTAAAGATGGACAAGGAGGAGAGTGAGATTTTTTAGAAATTTGGAGAGGTGAGAAAGCGACAGAACGAGTGGGCGAATGAGGAGAGAGTAATGGATGTAGGAGGATCATTATCTCAGAATGTGAGCAGACACTGTATGCAATGGGCTGAGAGAGACACAAGCTATGATGCTCTGTGAGAATAATACCGTGTTGGGGTTTGGGGGTGCAATAGCCCCCATATTAATAGCATGTCACCCTTTTCAGACTGGCACTTACTCTCATGTCTGCACTAAGTCCAAGTTGGGAATTTGTGTGATCACCGTGATAAGCACTTCTAAATGATACCATGATAAGCATTGCTCACACTGTGTACCCCCTGGGATCCAATAGGTTACATTCCCTCCCAACATTCTGGATAGCCACCTGCCTATTTCCCACTCATTGATAAAATATATAAAACACAGATTTAATTGATCTTGTCTGTTCCCTGCATATTGGTCTTAAATGTAAATCACCCTGGGACATGGTGCTTTAGAAGGAATTATCAATGGGTAAATGCAGGGTTCAAAAGGAGCCTATTTGTCATTCATGTGCAAAGTATGTGCCCTGCTGCACCCCTCGCTATTGGTAAAATAATGGTAACACTTTAAAACGTAGATGATGTTAATAAAACCGATAGCTGTGTAAGTGTACCAATCTCTCTGTCTTTAGTGCAGAAACCAGAGGGGAAAAAAAGAAAGAAGGAATGTGGGCGCTGCCGCTTTAAGGGAGGCGGGTGCGCGCGGGTGCCAGACGCCCAGTGCCGGTGCGCGTGCCCGCTCTCCCTCTCCCTGTGTGCTTTAAAGTCTCAGGCAGGAGCAGCTCACATGTTACTTCCTGTATGGGAGAATGGAAAGCGGCCATCCCCAGCTCTCAGCCTGGAGTAAAGGCTCCCCCAGCCTGGATTAGAGTCCATCACACCACCAGCCTGGATTAGAGACCCCTTCACCCTTTCATCCATGCTTGGACACACAATACCCCACAGCTTGGATTAAGGTCTCCCCAGCCTGGACTAAAGCTTCCCACCTCCAGTTTTGACTGCAGTGTCCTGCAACTGGATTAGGACATTTCAATCTGGACCAGAAACCTTTTTAATACACCGTTTGGACATTAGTCTGGTTTAAAGACCCCCCCCCAGCTTGAACTTCAGTATCTCTGGACTATAACATCCTGTCTGGACTAAAGACACCTTCCCACCCCCAAGTGGGACTCCAGACTCCCCCCATCCTGGATTGGAGGACTGTCCTATCCCCCCAGCCTGGACTTGCTGGAGCTATCTGCATGCATGCATGAGATCCAGGACTCTCCAGCTTCCCAGAGCCTTTCCAATAAGCAGCTATCCAGGCCCGGAGCTCAAACTCTGCTCCTCACCCCTGCCTGTACTCCCAGCCTGTCTCCACTACTTCTTTGGGTTATTACCTTGGCGGTAAAGTAGTCAACAAGTTGCTCTCTGTCCTCAATGTGCGTGTTGTCATGCGGAGGCTACTGCAACCGTGTTGGTGGATCTTGTTCTTGAAAATCACCACTCCGATGCTGCACTATGTGCTCTGTTACCCCGGTAAGTGTGCTTTGGGGGAGTTGGTGCTGGTTCTGCGCTCGGTACTGTTTGACCAAATTAAAGTATCTGGGGATAAGGAAAAGGATGGTGCTGCGTTATGTTTATTGTTACCCCAAATTATGTTTGTGATCTCTTACCCCTCTTTTGATCATTGGGGTGTAGGGAGGCTGATTTTGCGCTGACGGGTTCTGCTATGATGGGGGACTGGGACTACAGTATGCACTGGTATCCCAGATATTAACTGCAAAGCATGGGGTCCGTGCGATTACCTTCATTAAATGTCTGTTAGAACCTATTTAGTAACATTGTACCCCCTCCCAGTGGAATATCCAGGATATGTGTTATATCTTCTTATACATATCATATTTTGGAATTTGTGTGATTTTTGAGGGAGCTAGGTCCGCTTTGTGATGCGCCTTTACATTGCTTAGAGTTAATGATATTCGATGTTAACTCCCATTTAAATTTTTTTTTTAAATTTTTTTTTTTTATTTTATTTTATTTTTTTGAGAGAGGTTGTTTCTCTGTACCCTGTTAGCCCCAGTTATTGATGGCCAGAGTAAGACTTGAACGTAGAGCGTTTGTGCTACTATCCTCAGTTTTGTGCCAGGGGTATTTGCTCTGTTACCCCAGTGCATGGAATCTGGGGTTGGGGTAAATTTTGCATTATTGCCCCTCGCCCCGTGGCAACGGCTGCTTCTTGGTGGTAGAACTTGTCCCCTGATCTTCTACCTCTGGTATGGGGAATGACACAGCTGGCTGAGTGTAACCAAAACCATGCATCGAACTCCCCCCACCTCCCGTTGGCAAAGGCAGGTATCTAATTTCAAAGGACAAGCTCGATTGTATTGCCCCTCATATCCCTAGATCTTCCACACAATAGCCGTATTCTGCCCTTTCAGAATGTTACATGTTTGTCGAACGTTCTCCTTGAATTGATGCATAGCGTTTGGTCAACATCAATATCCTCCCAATATTGTGACTGATTTAATGAATCTCACCTTTAAATAATAAACCTTTTCTATATCCACCTCAGTAAATATTATATAGACACAGCCCCATCATCGGATGTCTGTTACTGTTAATCTAATCCTTAACATCCATGTATTGCCCCATACATCATATGCCCACCCATGCCAAGCACCCATCTATTTATTACCCCTTAAGTAAAATCTCCCATCTATTGTCTCAGGGATACAGCTTGCATGTGTAAACATCTGGATGGAGTGTTGGCTATAGGAAGGTATGAGAGTCTTCAGTGAAGTTGCTGCTTTTTTTTGTTTTTAAAAGCCAGCCAGAGTCAGGCTGTAGTGTTACAATGTGTACATTTCCATTCCATTCATGGAACCCCCAGCGCCCATCTCCCTCCTTTTGTGCTGCTGCTGGGGATGTTTAGAGGTGACTTCAGCACAGAGCTCAGCCTCTTCTCTTCCACTTCCATCTCTGCCATGCCAGAAATATTAAACAGATCCCTTGTAGGATTTTGTCTGCCCCCCTCCCCCCTTTCACATGCAAGAATCTGGAATCCGCTATGTGGCTGCTTTTTTGGTGCAGTGCTCTCCTAATCAGAGCAAGGCAGAGGAATGACAGAGTTTGGATTAGGAGGCATTAGCCATCAATGGGAGCACAGCACCGAGTATAGCTCATGCTGTGTGCATATCGCTGAGGGGGAACAATATTCAGCATACGCCGTTCTCTCCGTATAAACGCCAGTCCAGGATGGCATAGAAAGGGCAGAGTAATGTGTGTGTGTGTGTGTGTGTGTGTGTGTGTAGGGGTAATGCTGCTGGGTACCCCTTACCCAGTGTGTGTACTTGGTTTTGCAACACCTTGGTTATATTATGTGTTAATAGAAAGCTGTTCTATGTATAATTGATGCATTATAGCTTTTATCTCTTGGGGATATTGTGTGTACATGTAGGTATACATATCTGTGTAAAGCTGCAAAGTACACGTTTCAATGGGTACATCATTGGGTAAACTAAATTCTAGACAGCTGGTTTACTTAATTCAAATATCATCAAGGCCATTTTATTAAGATGTGCTCCAAACCTCATCCTGGGTCTCAAAAATAATAATAATAATAATAATAATAATAATATATATAATAAAAAGTTTATTATTGTTACCTGACTACAATCTGGGTATTTAAACCCTTTATAAAAACAAAACCTTATTTAGAGCGTTTTATGCACACAAAGATCACCAAAAACAAGATTGCATGATTCAATCCACCCCCTCCTCCCCCCCCCCCAATGGCCTCAAAAGGGTTAATTGCATGAACACTTGCCCTCTATAAGCAGGTGAGCCAGACATATTTTCAACCTGTAGGGGTAATTTTATTTTCTTAATGGTTTCTTGATACTGTGACATATTTCTGACTTTTATGTTCAGATTTCACTTTCTTCCATCCCCAGCATTTAAACCTCCTTCATATATGTGGATGTAATAAAAGAACTGTTCTCTGATATACACATGTGTACACTCTGTATATTTCACTCTACATATAGGAATACCTTTTTTCTTTCTTACCATGAATAGATCTATATTGTCATTTTTTTTGTTTTTTAGCAGGAAAATTATGAAAGCCACAAAAACACTTCTCATGCTTTTATATACTAAAACAAGCTGGAAATGCATAGGCTTTTTCTTCTCACCCCAACAGTATTAAGCTCATGTCTATGACAAGAGGAGGTCACTTAACTCCTGAATTTAGCTGCAGTAACCTCAAAAGGCCACGGGAGCGCTGCTGAGCTGTTTTCATGTGAAGGTCTAATATTCAAAAAAATGTATACAATGCTGCAAGTGTATATGGAGGGGGAAGTGTCTGCTAGGCAACTGATTAATATACTTTTTATGTAATGTCTACATTTGTCTATGCACAATTGTTAGCAGATGGAAACATTCCAAATACATAACATCTATGCATTCAGTTTATAGTGCATAAGAGCTGTAACCTGTCCTAATTCACAAATTGGAGTAATTCACAAAAAAAAAAAAAAGTTTCTCTGCCCTTGCGCTGTTCGTGCAGGACTTGTATCAGTTTAATTTGCAAGTTAACTACTTGTTGTTTAGTGATTAATTCTGAGATACCCAGTTACACGTATATAAAATATTTAATGACTGCAATATTATTATTAATTATTATTATTATTATTACCATTTATATTAAGATATTATATATATATATATTCTATATCTCTCAGATTAAGTAGTGCTTTACAATATCATGAGATGGGTGATTTAACTATAAATAGGACAATTACAAGAAAATTTACAGGAACGATACGGTGAAGAGGA